CAGCAGCAGCAGAAGCAGCAGCAACAACCCCACTCCCCGCTGCCTCTGGCGGGGGACGAGGACAAGCCGCAGCAGCAGCAGGTGAGCGCCAGGGAGCTCGGGAGGGGCGGCGGCTGGCCGGGGACGCGTCTCAGGTTTCGCCGGGTGGCGTGTCACGGAGCCCAACTCTCCTGCGGGGCGACCAGGGCTGTCGCCGGCCTGGCGAGTCCCGACCGAGAGGCTTTTGGCCCCCCCCCCCCCAGTAAGTACACCCTTGCCTTCCCGTACTGTCAGCGGCAGACGTGGGGGAAATGTGGTTTGTAGGAGGAACGGCACACCTCCTTGCACGAGGCGGTCGGACCAAACAATCCGCGCGGGCGGCAGGGCGGGCAGGGCGCCCTCTCCCCTTCCCGGCAGAGCTGCAGTGCTGGAGCCCGGCGGTGAGGTGCTCCGACAGAAAAGCGTTGCTGCCAGTCTGGAAGAAGGGTCTAATATTTCCCCACAGTAGGGAGACGTTGCATCTGAGCTTCCCCTTTCCCTGGTAAGTTGGGAAGAGGCTCCTGGAGAACACGAGGGGGGAAAATGTTGAATTTCTGGGAAGGATGGTAGAACTGGGGTGAAGAAAAAACAAACACAGCATGACTTTTTATACATATACATACAGTAGTTAGATAAACTCTTATTGCATAGGAGTATGATTATTTCCTACATGTGAACTGTTTCTCAGACTGTATATTGGATTTTAAAAAATCAGGAAGATCACATTATAAAAGAATTATACGTTTGATTACTTTTTTTCTTTTCAATCTCATGTTTAGGAGACTTTTGATTTTCTTTCATATCTTTGAGAATATTTTATTCTGTTTTTGGTGTTGCTGTTTTGGGCTCTTATCCATCACTGTATCATTTCTCAGGATCCTTTGCAGCCCCCTTCCTAATTTGGGGAATAAAATAGGAAGAGTCCTCTCTAATGTTTTCCCTTGAGATGGAAGCATAGGAAGTTCAGTAGGCTGCTGAAGAAATTATGTACAATGTAAAAGAGATAATACTCTCAACATCCCTTAGCCATATCACAACTAAAGTGCAAGAATTTCACACCTGCCAATGAGAATTTCACCAAAATGTTGATGTTCTTAAAAATAGTAAGGCAATTTTCGTGTCCATCAGATTTAAGGAGAATAATAAAACACATACACATTCACACACAGAAGAAATGTTCAGTGTAACACTTCAATTAAAGCCCAAGCTGACATGCCACATCCTTCAGGTATCTGCTGTGATACTGCAGATGTTTCTTTTTTTCTTTTAAATACCTCTGCAGGGGGGGTTGGAATATTTTGCTAAGAATAGTATGGATATTTGAATAATAAATGTACAAATTCTGATGTAATTAGAGTTAAGTCTCACAAGTATGATCTGAAAAAATGGACAGAGATAAGTACGAGGGTTCTGAATGTTCTTACACTAAGCAGGTGGCAGCATCTTGCTAACCTTGGCTAATCTAAAAAAAAAAAAAAAACCCTAAGCAAAATTCAGCCTGGTTAGTATCTGAATGGGAAACCACTAGGAAACCCTGTGGCTAAGAAAATAACATGGGGTGGGTGGCAAGACTGGCAGGGCAAGCTACTATATATAAACAGCCAGCAAACCCCACTCCCCCTTGCACTGTTACCTAGCCTGGAAATGAAATGTCTGCAACCAAGTTCAAAGAGCACAAAGGACCCAGCAGTTCATCCCCGAGCTCCTCTACTGGAAGTGTAATACTACTGAAGCAGCTGTCACCCACCAGCATCAGGCTGCCATATTTTGCACCAGCTGTTCTTTCCAGATAGTTTTCAAGGACAACCCCACATACAGCGCACTGCAGTGAGCCAGTTGGGAAGTAATAAGAGCATGAGTGATAGTCACCAAACTTTTGATTGAGGTTGTTATTACAGTTAAGCAAAAGCAGTAATAAATCCATTCTGTTCGTCTTTATTTGATCCTAAATATTACAAAACAGGATATTTCAGGGAAAACTCCTAAATACATTATCTTTTGTTAAGTTTCTCTGTTATTGGTAGAGGTATACAATATCAAAGTAAAAATTAGGCTGCGTGAAATAGATCGTCCCTGTAGCAAAGATCCTCGTCCACATAGGATAATCCTCCTCAGTTTGTATGAGACGCAAGGGCAGGTGGCTCGATAGTTGACATATGAAGGTGTGTGGTGTCATTTTATCCAAAGTGATGGAAAGATACTTATTTACAAAACTGGAGGAGGAGAAGCATGAACTCTTGCAAATAATAAGCATAACCCTGCCCCCAAATTAAAAGAGATTTAATTTCTAATTTGTTAGTGCTCCCTCCAGCTAGACTTTTTTATTTTAATTATTGAATATCCTAGCAGATTTTATTTTCTTTGAAGCTGTAGTTTTCAGAGTGCACTTACTAAAGCAAATGAGAGTACTAAACACCTGGGATACAGCCTGACATCTGTGGTTTCAAAATTACATATAATCCAATTCTGTGATGCAATTTCTACCTCTAAGCAGATGTTTCAAGAACATTATTAAATAGAAGTACTACAAACTATATAAATATCTTAAAACATTGGTAGTTCAGGAAATGAAATTATGTCCCAAGCGCTTCCTTCATTTCACATTTCCTTTGGAAATAGATGTGTACTACAATTAAGCAAAAGGGTACTAAATAGTATTCCTTTTTGCCCTCAAGGTGGTACACAAAATAAATGTTTATAATATTTTTATTTATTTACATATCTATCAACAATACTGCATCTTTTCTTATATACCGTTAGTCACTAAAGCCTTATAAGTAAAACAAACAAAAAGCATCCTTGAAAGTATATGCCGAAAATTCATTATAAGTTATTACAGGGCCTATTCTCTTTTTCTTTTTAGCAGAATTCCTGGAATTAAAGGATATGAGATCCTAACATGTTAGAGCAAAATTGTACAGGAATATTTCATTTATATACCGCCTGTACTCCAATAAGGTCAAGATGGTTATTCTTTACCTGCATTTATTCTCAACATAATTCTGTGACTGAACCAATTAACTTCATGGTTGAGTGGTGATTTGAATTGAGTTGCTCTTAAGATTTGAATTATTACATTTTGTATGATTCTAGCCTCTGAAATAATCTAAGAAAATTATATCATTTTAACAGTGTTCACATTTAAAACATGTATAGTATTGGTCTTTTATAAAGCTTCAAAATCAATTACAAGCAGTTTCTGCGTCCTTGACCAAATTTGGTTGGGTAATTTTAGCGCATGGTTTGTCTCAAAAGCAGAAACGTTACACAAATATCTAAAATAAATAATCCTTAAGATAGTTAGTGTTTCAAGATGGCTAGGGTTATGGTTAGAATATATTCTAACATAGAAGGAGAAAGTATGTTCTAAATATTCAAGTTCTTTACATTAAAACATAACTTTTAACAATTAGCAACTAATGCATTTTGAGTGCTCCATTACAACTTGTTTTTAATAGAATAATTGTGTATCATATTCCACATACCCAGCTATAAAATGGAAAGCTCTGATTTTGTAACACTCCTGGTCAAAATTTGCTTGAAATCAATTGGATCTAAGGGTTTGTAATGTATGATAAAATGGTACTGTTAGCCTCTGGTCTTTTTCTTAAGTTAAATATTTGCTGCCCTTGCTCTGTCCTCTGAAAGGCCTTTTAAATGTATCCTGGATATATGGAAGCTCCTTTTCCCAGAGTGCCTCCCACATCTGCACTGATACTTAAATTATCCAATTGGGATATTCAAAGTAGGGCTATGAAGCTCTTTTGAAATAGTTTGTTAAAAACGCTTTGGGCACACAGGAGTCTCTGTGGCTGCACATGATCCCAAGAAAACTGTTTTTGTGGCCCATATGCCCTGAAACACCTTTTTTAAATTGAATACAAAGCATTGAACATCTGTACTACAAAGCCTTCAAAAGTATTGCTTTACAACACAAGGGAGCATGTACAAAGTGCCTCTTTTCAAATTATTAAAACAATTATTAAGCTTTGCGTGGCTGCTTCAGAAGATGATCTCAACTATATCTGCATGCATGTACATGCTAGCCACTAAGTGAAGTAGGTACATAAGTATATATATGCAGAGACAGCCAGAGGTAGCTTCAAAGAGGTGTTTTGTTTGCCCAGCCCTATTAACCAACCGAGAACCAGTTTGGTGTAGTGGTTAAGGCACCAGGCTAGAAACCAGGAGACCATGAGTTCTAGTTCTGCCTTAGGAAAAAAGCCTGCTGGGTGACCTTGGGCCAGTCACGCTCTCTCAGCCCTAGGAAGCAGGCAATGGCAAGCCAGTTCTGAAATCTTGTCAAGGAAACTGCAGGAATTAGTCTAGGCAGTTACCAGGAGTCAATACTGATTCAAAGGGACTTAAAAAAAAAAAAAAAATTAACCAACTATTTGAGCCAGCTCAAATTGTCTACAGCTTTCCTATACAAAAGCGAGATGGGGGTGTCTGTATGTTGTTGTTGTTGTTTTTGCTGGTCTATGACCATAATAAAGATTTTATGGTATCTGTGTTTTATTTTGGGGGGGTATACTAGTTATGTGCTGTCACTAAGGAAGAAACTTTACTTCAAAATGGCAAGGAATGTCTACAGGTAGTTCTCAAGTTATGATGGAAATTAGGATCAGAATTTCTGTCACTAAGCAATGTCATAAAGCATGATGTCACATGACTGCATCACTTAGCGACAGCAATTCCAGCAGTCCCCATTGCCATTGTTAAATGAGAACTTCATATGACTGCAACTTGTGACTTCCTGCCGACTTTCAACAAGCAAAGTCAATGGGGTAGCAAGCAGGAAGTTGCAAGTCCCAGGTGGCTCACAAGCAGGCTGGTGGGCGGGTGCTGCGGCACCACGCAAGTGCGGGCAGGTGAGGGAGGGGCACTGTAATGCCGCATGAGTGCAGCCAGGCAGGGGAGAGCTGGTGCGGCATCACAGGCAGGTGGGCATGCACTACAGAGTGCAGGTGGGAGGTGCTGCAGGCAGGCACGCTATGAAGTACAAGATCCCTGGAATCTCAGTCTGTAGTGGGCTTCTCGGGAAAAAGCGGAAGCAACTTGTG